ATAGTAGAAGTTAAAGAATCTATTATAGGCGTTAAAGTCGCTAGTTCGCTTGTTTTTATTTTTCTTTTAATATATTCTTAACTAACTCGTACTTTATACTAATATTAATATAATACGCGATCTAAATCGTAAAGAATTATAAAAAAAAAAATAATAAATATTAAGATAAAGCGCTAACTAGCTTATTAATTTTAAATAATTAAAACTATACCTATAATAATTTTAATATAAGGCCTATAGTCGATTAAGAATCTACTTATATAAAGAATTATATTTTAATATTTTAAAACTATTAAATAATATTTCGCTCTCTATAGTAATAGTATAGTAAATAAAATTTTTTTTATATAATTTTAGGAAGTTTAAACTATTTTAAACCTTATATATAATCGCTTTAAGGCGATTCTAATACCTAGAAGCTATTTAATTATTAATAAGTCTATTATTAAATTTTATAATTACTAAAAGAATAAATATTAAATAAGATATAAGTTAGCAAGTAAAAGCTTTTATATATTCGCTTTTTATATCTTTAGAAATCTATTATATAACTTTATAATATTTTTTAATTATAATAATCTTAAAAAGGTTCTTAAAGATACTAAGATTAATATTTAAATAAAAAATATTTAAAAGAGAAAGAAAGATTTAAATAATAACTAATCCTTTTTAGTTAAACTTTTATTTTAAAGGATAATAATATATACGCTTTATAAGTAAATTATAGTTAAATAAAGATATTAAACGTTTACTTATTATACTAATAATCTTTTTACTAATATATTATTAACTAAAATATTATTAATAATTAGTATTAGTATTTATAGTACTATAAGAATAAATATATTTAATTTTTTATTAATTTTACTAATAATTAAGTATAGATTTAAACTTAAATTAGTTTAAAATATATAATTAGTTCTTATTATTAATAATATTATAGCTTATATAATCTAAAAAGATTATAAATAATAAAATATTATATTTTTTATATCTACGATTTATAGATTTTATAATTCTAAAATTATAATTTAATATATATAAATAAGATTAGTTATATAAGGTATACTGTGGTGAAAATTAAGGGTGCTCCATTTGAGATCATGTAATAACTAGATAGGATAGCTAGAAGGACGGATGATGTTCACTCTTCTCGTTGCTCTCTTGATGATGATTGTTCTTCTTAAGAAGACATCTTCTAAAAGTAGCTATATGTAGTGTACTCGGTAAACTTGCCTTATAAGGAATGCACTGTATTCCCACGATAATACTTATAAGCTAAATATAAATTTAGTAACTAAAGATCGTTATTAGTTATAATTAATATATAAATAATATCGACCTTTATAATTACTTATATATTTATAAAACTATATAATAACCTTATTAAACTAAGTAAAAAAAGAAAATTATTAAATTTATTATCGATATTTATTCTATGAGTATCTTTATTATTTAATAATAATATTAAATTTAAAATATTTAAAAATAATAATCTCGTAAGTAATTTTTTTATCTAACTTATTATAGGCCTTATTAAGATTAAAGAGAAGATATATATACTAGTATAGATTATAAATCGAAGCTTTTATACTTAAATAAATTATTAATCTTAAGGATATCGTAAGTATAATTCTTTAGGCGAGATTATTAATAATACTACTACCTTTAGAGCGTTTAGAACTACTGACTATTATAACGACTATATAAAGTATCTATACGTTAGTAAGAGCTACTAGGGTTAATATTATAGGACGAAAGGCCTTATAATCAGGCTAAAGGATCGATATTAGTAAGATGGGGTTAATATTAACACTAGGCGACAGCGATCTCGCTTTATAACACCAGGATTTATCTATATAAGGCTAAACCGCGGCCTTAAATGCGTAATAATGCATAGAATCAAGATCTGGTACACGTACAATATTATACTCACTTCAATGAGATTATTTCTATGTAATGACCACCTGGTGGTACTCCCGTAGTGGAGCCGCTAAATGGAACAAATTGTACGCGCAGAGGACCTGAGGGATGAAAGCTTAAGTTCAGGGTCAAAAAAAGGATTGGAGGTCTATCTGGAGTAGTTGTGGAGTTCATGTAAGCCTATTCATGTGCGGGGTAGATAAGGTATTTCCTTCACTACCTCGGTGTTCTCGATCACCTCTCGATCGAGCTATCCTACTGTTAGCCTCTAACTGTTGATAACTGTAGCTAGCGGTCACTCAGGGACACTTTAGTCTTCTTGCCGCCTAAAAAGAGGTCGTTTATCCGGTCCTAGTTGGCCATTTTCCTTCTGTATCTCCTTTAGTATTTCCCTACAATCCTTCTTTGATGGACGTTCGTAGATAGGATACTCATTATCCAGTGCTTATTATATTAACATATTAGACGTACGCTTTTACTCGCGCGTCTGAGCTATATTGAATCGACGACAACGGCCTCTGGATCTACTATATTTACGATCTCTCCTATTTACAGTGCTGTTCTACCGCGTTTGAGCGCTATCTTGAACAGGAATAGTGCCGGCAATGACGGTCACACACACCGAGACTTACCTTAGCTTTAGCAATCAAACCTCGCCTATATACAATGCCGATTTAGCCCTCGTTCTGTTGATCAACTTGCCAACAACACTTGCTCCTGACTCCACATCTGATTGAAATAAGGTTCAGTGGTTCAGGTGTCCTCGGTCGTGAACCCAGTTATCCTCTTTGGCTTGATAGGTTACCGAGGACTACAGGCAATGCTTGAACCGTATAAGAAGAGACCACGGCGACTTGGCTCGTTCGTGGGGATTTGTTGTCAACTCACTTCTCTTTCCCCTACCAGCAATCTTGCCAAGCTCTCAGATCAGACACGACCATCCATCTGTTGAACATGGCTGAGAAGAACGACATCGAACATGTTCATACCGGGGAGCGAAGACCTTCACTGCTCGGCGAGTTGAGAAAGACGGATACTGTGGATACCCTTCACAATGATGAGGCTGTCAAAGTTCTTGCCGCTTACCATGGTAACGAGGAGTGGACAGAAGCTGAGGAGAAGAGGGTTGTCAAGAAGATCGATCGAAGGCTACTACCTCTTTTGATTTTGACATACGGAGTGCAGTACTACGACAAAGCTATGTTGTCACAAGCGGTAAGCATTGGCCGTTACTCGCTTGCAGACTTTTCTGACTTTGTGATAGGCAATCTTCGGTCTACGAACAGACCTCGATCTGACCAAGGGCAACCGTTACTCGTTCTCAGCTGCCATCTTCTACCTTGGCTTCATCGTCGGTGCAACTCCCGCTATCATCATGGCTCAACGCTTTCCCATTGAACGAGTTGCATTCGCTATTGTTTGCTTATGGGGTATTTGCCATATGTGCACGGCCGCATGCCACAGCTTTCAAGCCCTCTATGCCCAGCGGTTCTTCCTCGGCGTCCTTGAGTCTGGTGTCAGTCCTATGTTCATGCTCGTTGTGGCAGGCTTCTACAAGAAGGATGAGCAGGCGTTGAGGATGGGTGCTTGGTATTGTGCGACAGGTCAGTACCAGCAAGTTCACTCTCTACGGACACGAAAGCTAATCCCGAGGTAGGCTATGTTAGCATCGTCGCACCGTTGATCAACTACGGATTGGGTCACATTAAAGGCTCCCTTCACTCCTGGCAGTACATGTATCTCGTGGCCGGTTCCCTGACCGTCGTATGGTCTTTTGTCATCCTCTTCTATATGCCACCTGATCCAATCCGAATGAAAAGTCTCACCGAACGTGAACGATATATTGCCGTTGCCCGTATGCGTATCAACAACGCAGGCGTTCGAAATACTCATTTCAAGAAAGAGCAAGTCGTCGAAGTTCTGATGGATATCCGTTTCTGGATTGTCTTCTCTATGGCCTTTCTGATTATGATCGCCAATGGACCGGTCTCCACCTTTAGTCCGATCATTATTAACAGCTTCGGATACAGCACGCTCAACTCGCTACTTCTTACAATGCCCTCAGGAGCAATCATTGGCACTGTTGAACTCGTGGCGCCATACCTTGCGTATAAGTACCCCGGAAACAGGACCTGGATTATCGCTATCTGCCAGTGTGGTACGATTCTTGCTGCGTTGCTGTTATGGAACTTGCCACGCTCAGCAACAGGCGGACTGCTCTATGGTGTCTTCACTCTTGCAACTTTTGGTGGAGGTTATGCCATCCTCATGGGAATCCAGACTGCAAACACAGCCGGATACACTAAGAAATCAGTCACAGCGTCGGGGATCTTCCTTGGGTATTGTCTCGGTACGCTCAACCATCCCATGCTAAGTGGTCAAGCTAATATGCTATAGGCAACGTTGTCGGTCCCCTCGTCTTCAAACCCAAGGACGCGCCACGGTATGCCCCGGGCTTCATCATCGTCGTTATTACAAGCATCATTGCTGCGGTGCTGTCAATTGTGTATCGATATGTTTGTGTCTGGGAGAACAAGAAGAGGGATAGGATGGGTACGGAGGCGTTTGATCATGCTTATGAGGATGATTTGACGGATATGAAGAATCCGCAGTTTAGGTATCAAATCTGAGGTGATGCAGTGGAGCGGAGAGCAAGCGCAAGGATTATTCCTCGTTGAGCTTGACAAAATCGCCAAAGCGGGCGAGTATTCTGACTCGGTGGTTTCTAAGGACAAAACAACTGCTATGCACATTTATTGCTTCCTACTCTCCTGAGCCGCTTACTCAAGCACATTTTTCCACTTCGCGCAACTGAGAAGCCGGTATAGCATTACTGATGTTGCTAGTTCCCTACCCCAATGAGCAATACACGAGACCAATTGCAATCCCAACTGTCATGACCCAATGCACACATCGTTGCAATCATACAGACCCATCTAGGTAGGATTCGTCTCGCGCTCGCGAAAAACAAACATTCACGTCCTTACTCGAACCAGCTACAGTACACACAGTCCAGGACCTCAAACGCACAACAAACAAGACCCCACGCAATAAAGACAAAAAAGGAAAAGAAATTTTTCCTGCACCGATAATTGAACTCGGATCTCCTGGGCGTGAAACAAGTCTGCGAGCAACGAAAACCAGGTATGATAACCATTACACCATGCCGGAGAGGAGAATGTGTGTTGATTCTGGATGGAGTTGGTGGTGGTTGAGGATATGCGTGTTTGGAGTTGTGAGGGAAGGAGGGAGGTCTGAGTTGAGTTATTGTGGGTTCGGGACGGTGGCGGTGGAAGGTGGAGTCGGATGGGCTGGAGATGGAGATGGATGTGAAGGAGAGGCGGGGTGAGGGTGAGGTGAGTCGGTTATTGCGGATGGCGATAGGGTTGCATATGTACAGGTTACAGTACAACAGAGTAGGAAACGGTTCAGTGTGAATACAGAAAGGAGGTATGGATGAAGTAGGTGTTAAATTGAGTTTGATACGATGAATAAATTTGGAGTTCTTATTCTTCTACACTTCGTGGATTACTTAAATTAGAGCTACTTATAGCTTAGGACTATAGGCAAATCGAAGGCTGTCTATAACGTATTTATATAGGTAGTTATGATCGAATAGAAAGAAATAGACTAAGATCTAATCGACGGCCTGATTAGGTTAATAGATAACCGGGTTAATGCAGTACTACAGGCGGAAGGCTGGTAAACGCGCTACTAACACCTCGATATTTGCTATACACATATAAAATACGTAAACTTGCTGCTTTAATGCACTTTTTACAGGTAAATATTCGAAAATCCATACAGTTTTGCAGTTATAGTAGTATTTTGTATGTGGTTAACCAAAATAGGTAGGTAGAAGAAATCGGTGCATCGGCGTATAATTATGGTCGGCCACTGTAAACTTTCCTTACGATAGGTTAAGCATCGCTATCGTAATCGCATTATTCTACCGTCTTTATACACGTATTATACGTAGTATTCCTTATGTAGTAACCTCACTCTGACGATCGATCGAAATCGCCTAGGTAGATACTGTTTAAGAGAGTGGACACATTAGCGATTAGGCTTATATAAGGAAGTAAGGACGATCGCCTCTATATCGTTAGCTATTAAGACCGGCTATAAGCTTGTCAGGGACCTCACTGGATAACAAGTTATCAAGTATGGTTCTGGGCTTTACTCGATAGTGATAGAAGTATTAGGGATGCTAGAGCTGTGTCGAACAAGAGTTGAGATGTAACTTAGGTTGACTACGGAAGCTATGGATGAACATAGGAGACTCGTATCTATATACCTGTGAAGCAGTATTTGCTGCTCAGTGCTGCTCAGTGCTGCTCAGTGTGCTCAGTACTGATCACCACTGATCATTACTGATCACACTGATCACTCCTTCCCACGTGATCCTTATCGGTTATCTTCACGTGCTAGGCTCATTCGCCTATCTTTCCATATCTTCCTGCAGGTGCGGCCGTCTGACGGCCTGACCTGTCCTGACCGTAACAAAGCTTCAGTACTAATAGGACCGAGAGAGAGTAACGTTCCTCGACGTAGAGATAGGTAGTAACTCCTACGATTATATTTAAATTAACGATAATTTAAGGGTCCACCTAGGGGATAACTACTTTATAGCGATCGAGAACGACTAAAACATGTTTCTAGCGCCCTTTACGATGCTTATGAACTCGAATATCGCGCCTGTCACCCCGGGACGCGAAGAGAACTACTACAAAAGATCGAAAGATAGGCTAAACAATCCTACGAGCCTAAGTATCTTCTAGCTAAACGGTATAGCCGGTACGGGTAAGTCGACGATTCTATACACCGTTGCTGAAAAACTTAATCAAGAGAAAACTATAGGTCACGCTAAACTCGGTGCTAGCTTCTTCTTTAAACGAGGTAAAGGAAACCGAGGGTCGGCAGTACTTCTGTTTCCTACCATCGTCCATCAGCTAGCGAAGAAGATCCCTAGACTAGAGTCGCTTATGGTCTAAGCTGTTAGGATCAACCCAGATGTCTGTACGAATTCCCTCGGCGAGCAGTTTCGGACATTAATTCGTCGACCATTACGGCAACTCGTTCCTCCACCTTACCCGCTAATGTACGTCATCGTACTCGATGCACTGGACGAATATAAGACGGACGAGATTAATATAGTACTGCGACTCTGGTCGGAAGTACCTCGTCCCACGAACATCCGCCTTCGCCTGTTCGTGACCAGCCGACCCGATTTACCTGTCCAGCTAGGTTTTAAGAAGAATATATCCAGCGATTCTCACTATGACGTGATTCTTCACGAGGTCCGTCGACCAACTATTGAGCACGACATTCTCGCGTACCTCAGGCAAGCGTTTACCACAATTCGGAAAGATTCTAATTGTCGTCCTCTTTGTGGCGAGCTGCTTAGGGAGGATTGGCCTAGTGAGAAAGTTCTGCGGGCAGTCACTTCTGATTGAACCGAATGTGGATTTCCTTCATCGTTCCCTCTCTCCTTCAGACAACTCGTCACTGATTGATGAGCAGAAAGCTACGCAGATACGAGAGGAGGCTAATGCCTGAAAGAAGCTAGAAGTTTGATTTCTACTCAATGCACCATACCGATCTAGTTATAACCTATGATCTCTAAGATTCTTGTTGCATACCACCCATACCTTCTAGCCTTCATATTCATAATCAGCTTTTTGCGTGCCCTCCCCGTTCACTGCGTCCGCCATATTCTAACATTATACACCACTTCAAAACCTTGCAACGAATGAACCACAGCCTCGAGAGGTTTCTTCACTGTGAATGTCCTCGTTTAGTTAGGCTCAAGGATAGCTCGTTGCATGTGAACGAACCGCCGTCAAGAACGCAGTCTCCAATTCCTGCCCAGAGGATATCGGTCCGCCGTAGTAATTAAACGTAACGACGCCCCAAAAACCACCGGCGTAGGTGCGATATATGTTACTCAGTTTTACCAGGTCGGGAACGTCTTGGTTATCGGAAGACTTATGTACGATGGTTGGCGTATGTTCTGTATAAGGCATTTGTTGGTAGCGGTCTACGATGGCCAGGTTCTTTTATATAGACACACGGACTGGTTCTGGTTGACTTAGAAGAAGATCATACTTCGATTGTCCTTAATAGTGAGGAGCTGGTAATAGTGGAGTCGACACGCCAAGGTATTTCTTTTAACTTTGAGCCCTATTCGTTCGTAAGGTACCTTCTCTACACGTTGTTGTAATAGGATTTTCTCCTTCACTTTCGTTAGTGGCTTGTATGTTCAGCTTTTCTTTAGTAGCATACTTCGTCGACCGTCCGCTTGTTAGCCCCTATACTGATGGACAACAACCTATCTGAGTTCTGGTCAATTGAGGAAATCATTGCAGCAGTGGCAGAGGTATAGGTTTCATAATGTTTTCAATCTGCTTGTGAGGGGTTTACTTTAAAGGGGGCAGAAAAGCGACGTAGTGCTAACGTTTGGGTAAGACCGCCGACCGCTTTTTAGCTACTAACAGGCTGCAATAGTCATAATGCAATAATGTTGTCTTGGTAACAAGGTTTTCCTACTTCCTTGATGTTCCTCTTCGTATATTGAGACGGAGACGAATAATGTACACAATGAATGGAAGGTAGAAACATAAAGAAGTGTAGCCTGATTGCATAATTTCTACCAAGCGATAGCGCAAAAGTAGTGATTCACTACGTAGAGCTAACATCGCATTTCACACTAGAGGGCCATGCTGTTTGACGCGGACGGAAGTGGCGCCATTTTCCATATCATCTTCATCATGGCCTGTGACTTGCTCTGGGAAACTCTGCCTTTCGCGGTCAGAGACAGCCACAGATCAAGTTTGCCTGAAGAACTCGAATCTTTCGCTCTGAACCGCGGTAGGCACCACTCTGGTGTACCCTTACCAGGTTCCTAATTCAAGGGACTCAAACATGATCCTCTGTAACTAAAGGATTTCATTAAGGATCCATGCAATACTCTTATGATCATTGTGTCTAAACAAGCGGCGTAGGACTCCTATAAGCGGCTCGAGAACGAATAAGAGCACGATAATAAATCCGCTAACTGCGAAGAAACTAAACTTATTTATAATCAATAAACTAAGTCTAGTTACGGTATTATAGCTTCCTCTAAGGTTACCTTAGCCTTTTAGTATCGTCGAATCCGAAAAGCTCTATACGAGTTACTAACGACTCAGGTGTCTAGTTAGACTTATATAATAATCTAGAAGCTAAGCCTAGTCTTTTAAATAAGGTACCCTTCCTTAGAGTCGACTATATTACCGTAGCTAAGCTATATAACGAGATAGAGCGTTTAATACCTTAATCGCTACGGACTATTAATAACGTCGTAGTTCGTACTAAGTAGCCAACGCTATCTAAGCGATAATATAATAGATAACTAACTCGACGATATTAGAAGCTAGTATAACCGCGTACTAGATTATTTATAGCGTCGATACGGATCTATTAGCGTTAGAAGGGGATCTTAGATAATTATCGGTCTTATATAAATGTTTAATAAGTTTAATTCTCCTTAGGATATTATAAGAATACTAAGCCCGAATAAGTTTATAATAATAAATAGCTTATTATATTTACGAGATCTAGTAAGAGTAGGGAGTTAATTCTTCTATCGAATACGTCGCTATTCTTCTTTAACGTAGTTAAGAGTACGATTTAATTCCTTTATCGTCTTCTTTATTAATTCGAGTTAACGTAAAAAGATGTTTAACGCATTTTGAAGTTAGGAACTAGCTAGTAAGGTTAAGGCTATCGGGGAAATAGAGCTACCCGAGGGTAATAGATAGTCTACCGATACGTAGTTATCTAGGCGTAGCGCTTTATAAATTAGTATAGCGGTATAGTCTTAGGTCGAAACTATAAAGAATAAACTTTAATCTTATTATAATAAATACTTAAAGAGTTATCTTTACTACTTTATCTCCTCGATCTTCCGAAAGAAGTCTTACTAAATATTTTCTCTTTTCTAAAAGAAACCACTATAGCAATTAAAGATCGTATAGGTAGAAATACCTTAGAGCCTTACGTAAATATACTACGACGAATATAAAATGTTTTAGTAGCCGCCCTTACGTCAACGTAATTTACGTTTTATAAAGAGGAAAGCTTATAATATATATAGCGCTATACCGATTCGCTAATATTAACGTATAAAT